GAGTTGGATTTCGCCGTGAGACATGTGGGAGGGGAGGTTTAGGAGCCGATATCTCCGCCTAGGAGTATCGTATTGACAAGCAGTTGGTCTTGTTTTAGAGAGCAAAGAATTCTGCTTAATGCAATACTATGAAATTATTATAGACTCGCAGGCAAAGTAGAATAATGTTGTCGTGAAATAGCACTATTTTCCCGTTTTTCCGTTGTACACTCTAGGTATTATCCGCTCTTGATACCATGAAATTATTATAAACTCGCAGGCAAAGTAGAATAATGTTGTCGTGAAATAGCACTATTTTCCCGTTTTTCCGTTGTACACTCTAGGTATTATTAGCTCTTGAAAGTATATATATATCAAGAGCGTATTAAGAAGGAGAGCGTACAACAGTAAAATGCTGAAACCATGTTGCAGTATTAGTCGAATTAAGAAACTTTGCCCGTTTTATTTTGACAATTCTTTGCGGTATTATTGATCAGCTGTCCTACCTTGCTAATATAGAACAAACCGCTTGTCCCTACGATGCCCCTACGCTGAGATAATGAGCGATGAAAATCTGGTATTTTTGCCGAAAACCGACTCGAGGTCCCTGTTTGCTGCGACCCTCTCTCACTTTGTGTCCAGTGTGTTACTTCTGGTCGCTGCTGTGTAGCGCCATGGTAGCATTGACTCATTACATCAGTACTAACAGAGTTTACTACATCCAGCGTGAGGTGGGCACAGGTGGGGGTCATCACTATGGCAATCAATAACAAACGTCATTCCAGTGAAAAAATAAATTTTTCCAGTGCTCTTTTTCCACTTTCCAGGGCTGTTTCCTCAAATATACACACAAGCACAGTAGCTAATACACACTCGCGGGCGCGCGGACACACACACATGTCAGACACACACACACACACACACACACACACACACACACACACACACACACACACACACACACACACACATACACTCGCAGAGAAAGAGAGAGAGAGAGCGAGAAAGAGAGAGCGCGCGAAAAAGAAAAAGAGAGATTTTATCCAAATAAAATCCGTCTCTGCGTCAGCCGAACTAAAACTAGCGCTTAAATCTACGGAGCAAATAAAACGGCTGATAATTAAATAGCGACACACCGACGCGTCGCGCCTTTCTACGCTTCCAATGCGATTAGGCGCGCTGTCAACAACGGCGGCAAAAAACTGCTAATGAACTAACCGACTCGACATAAAGCATCGACAGCGGCGGCAGCAGCTGCGGCGACGGCAACAGCAGCAGCAGCAGTAGTAGCAGCAGCAGCAGCAGCAGCAGCAGCAGCAGTAGTAGTAGTAGTAGTAGTAGTAGTAGTAGTAGTAGTAGTAGTAGTAGTAGTAGTAGTAGTAGTAGTAGTAGTGTAACATAATTATGATTTACAGA